CTACGGCACAAGAAGTGCAAAAACGCATAATCGCACCGGCCCGCCTGGTGCGTTCCAGCCTGGGTTGGTTAATCGAAATCTTCGCTCGTGTGTTGATGTTTACACCACAGATGCTTGTCACCACCGCTCATTGACGTAACCGCTGGACTAAGGGCTTCGAACGGCCGCTCTCAGTAACACCTGAAAGTACCACGGAAATTTAGACGTGAGCGGAACAATTTATGATATTATGACTAATGGATTTATAATTTACGTCATGGTATTGTAAAATGATTTATATTTGCTCATATTATGATTCGCTTCTTAGAAAAGAATTTATTTATTTGTAAATTGGTAATTTTCCTCAAGTTTAACTTGGATTTTATAAGGTTTTAAGCGAATTTTTTTTTTTGTTTGCCATTAGAATTGAGTAAGTTTCATTGTATAAGAAGTTAGGTCACATTGGACATTAATGACTAAGCTTACATAAAGTACTGAACGTCATCATTTGCATTCTTCGACAACGTCCTTCTTTCAATTATTTTTTATCCCATATCTGTTTTGTAGTAAACGTAGAGTACAGGCAACGCGTAGTTTTAGGTCAATTTAGAAACTTGGTTCATTCGTTGCGCGTAAAATAAGTTTATTAATTATTCGAGGATTGCAGCGTGTAGTACGGCGTAATTAGGTCATTTTTTTTCATTATTTAGTGAAAGTAACTTGTAGGAGCATTGTAATTAGGTAACATCATATTTGTTTGAACGTAATTTGTCTTTATAAATATAAGGTTATATTAACCAACTATGAGATATGAATGGAGCAGTTGGAAAGTGTATCGGCTTTTGGGCCAAATAAAAAGTGTTCAAAGAAAATATGGCGCAGAAGTTAGTGCGAGCCACAACATAATTATTATTATTCCACAAAAGTCATCATCCCATCGACCCCGATCGGAAACCCGGCCCTTCACCGTCGGATGGGCGTACTGTCGTGGTGACCCTATGCCTATTAAAGAATGTATGCGGCGAGCGCTAAAAAAATTCACCTTCATGGTACTAATGAGGCGGTTAACTGTATCATACAAGAAGAGCAAATACATTTGTCAATAGTACAAGTAATACCTTCCGCAAATGCATCGAAGTGCAAGTTTGTGGCAGAATCATTATTTCCTTTAAAGGATTCGTCTTTTCACACGAAATGGCTTATCTAAAATATGAGCTTTTTAGCTTACGCAATTTCAAATTATTCACATACACAAACAGATACACGATGCTAAGGAAGCTTGCCATTTTTTATGTATTTTTTTGAATTTATGCAACTGCAAAGCGCATATTGACAACATTGCTTGTTCGACTGTGTGTGTGTATGTGTGTTCGCATTTTGTCACCAACTTTGAACTCATTAACAAGGGAAGCTAGGAAGCTAAAACTTTAATAACACATGCTCACCCCGTGGGAAATCTTATCGTTTGAAGTTGTCGTTCGTTCGTGTCTGCGCCTCACGTACGGACGCTAGAAAAAGCAAATTTTTTGGCTGCAAAACGATTCCGGGGAACAGACAAAAAAGGAAACTGAAATTCAGCAGCGGTATTCAATGTCCTTTTATGAGCTGAAGTTTTCATTCTTCAAAAAACATGCATACGTTTTAGTAGTTACATTTTTAAGCAAGTACAAAGTGTTCCAATGGGCGGTAATCCTAATCCCGATATTGCCGATCTCACATTGTCTGCCGTGGAGTATCGGTTCCTTCGTAAGAACCTCGATGTTCATCTTCATCTCTTTCGATATGCCGATGACATCCTTATTGTTAACTGCGCCAACTTTGCTGAAATTGCCGGTAACATCTATAGGCCCAGCCTGCAAATCAACACCACTTACTCTGGACAAAGAGCTTGTTTTGTAAACCTCGAAATTTTATGCTGCGAGGGCAGATGTATTTTCAGCGTATACAATAAGGCCTTGAACTATCCATTGGTAGTAAATCACGGTGGCTATCCAGATAGCGATGTGGACCAAACAGTGCAAGAAGGTGTCATTATATCGCAACTGCTTCGTTATGCAGGTATATGCGCTCTTCCAGAGGGGTTCCATGACTGGACTAAACGACTTATAAGAATCTATAAACATAAACAGTTTGATATTGCCAAAATAGAACGCTTTGTTCTCAGATTCTGCTTCAAAAACCGCTCAGTGATTAGCAAATTCATCTACCCCGATGATTCAGGAATTAAACGCTTAGTCAGCACCCTCTTATAAAAATTGTTTACTCACAATTGGCACATAACAACTGTCCGTATATGGGTTCACTTTCTTATTCTCTCTCCTCTCACTCTGTCTGCTTTCTCTCTCTCCCTGATTTCTCTCTCATCACATTTCTGTCCTGCAAATTAGCCACATGAATGTTCAGAACATGGAGGGTAGGAGACTGTACTGATAATTCCCGCTCCCACCCGCACACATTGCTCGGTCTGTGTTTACAGCCAAGGGATGAAACAACGACCTACCACGCAGTAAAATGCCCTTCGGTACATGACATTTAAGACCAGTCCTTCCATTCTACTATGTCGTATAACAGATCAAATAATGATTAATGGTTTTTGTTAAAAGTAGGTTAAAGAACAACTGCGTTACTATGACGCTATACCCCTGTCCCTGGTTCAGAATTTGGACACCCTACCCTCGTTAAACTTTCGCTATCTTAGTACTGTCTGACCCCTGGGGTATAAAAGCGCTCCTCCCCATCGCCGGGAGGACCACAACTCATCACCACTCTCAATCTATCTACTTAACTTCTATTCCTGCCCCGGGAAGCTACGGCTCCCCAGAACCTCACCACCTTGTTTTGTATCATCTTTTTAAAATTCTGTGTATTTAAAAATATGTATATATAAATAAACGTTTTACACACCCACACACAGGGCATACTACTAGTCTATAAATATTAACTGATAGAGTCGCAATAACTATTTCAAGTGCAGTTTTAATGCACAATTATGTCGCTTGCGCATGTCAAAATTGAGATTTCGACCTCGCCACAACATACCTACTCAAGAATTGAACTGACTAAAGCGCTCTGACTTCGTGGGAATATTTGTTTTCCATGCTTGAGCACGTAGACAAGTTAGAAAGCATAAACTTTACAAAGATGCTCCTTCCCCGTTTGCAACTCAAAGAATTTGAGTTCAGCTTTCACGCACCTTTAGGTCTCACGCACGTACTTGCCAAATTTCAAACTGGTACCGCGCCGAAGCGAAATTAAACTGATCAGAAACCTATAGAGTTTGCTGTTTACTTATGTGCACCGTAAGGTAAATTGAGCTTTTGCATCCCCTTACATCTCATAAACAGGCACGCAAAATTTGGCGCAGACAATTTCGTAACTTCGGAACTGCATCTAAAGCGCTAGAATTTTGTGAGTATAATCAGTACTGCGGTTAGTGATGTCCAAGTGAAGTAACCCTCATGTCCCAGCTGTATCTTAGACGAATATAATTTAACGCAGACCATTTGCAACTCCAGAAACACGCAGCTAAAAACCTGTGTTCGCGGTCCGCTGTTATGATTAGGTAAGTGTATACGAAAACAGCTTTCACGTCCTTTTCATATCATAGCGCAGTTTGGCGCTGACAGTTTTTTCATGGCACTTTAACACTATGTGAAGGAAAAAATGATAACAGTAAATCCGAATTTGACGCACGTTTCTTTTCATTTAGCTAAAACTACCTGCCCAAAAATAATTGCGATACTTGGCAACAAACATTGTCCGGGAAACTACCTAAAAAAGCATGTTCACACCAGTATGCCTAACGGGTACCAACGCAGGTTTCTCGATCATGCCAGAATTGAAACGTTTGAAAAACCTCTGATCAGTTTTTTCGTGAAGTGCATTCAAAAGTTACGGATGACAGATTTATGCAAATCAGTAGCACGAGTCACTAAACGTGCATATCACAGGCGGTATTCACATTAGAAATTCTTTGGGTGTGTATTAGCCATGGGATAATGAAGTCATACATTTTTTGGGAGGTTCGGGAAGAGGTCTCGGCATCATATTGTTTGTCCACTATTATCAGTTCCTTCAGAAGATGCCACCACCGGGTTTTTCCCAGTCATACGGAAATTCCTGACAGCCCATCGTCTGGAACGACTGACGCATCAGCTGATAAATTTGCTGATACGGTGGCTGATCGTAGTATTTCAGGCCATCAACGATTTGCATGATCTGTCTCAGTTCCGGGGCGCAGCCACCCATTAGTTCGTTAATTGCCGGCTCGAAACGACAACGTTTTTTATATTCCCCAACCTGCAACAGAGAATTTGTTGAGATCAATACGACCATGTGGTTTTTAGTACAAAGGACTAATTGTATTTCTACTCAAGCCGAGCTTTCATGATTAGGCCTAACTTTCTAAGCATTAGCTGGAATTCTTTTGAGCATCTGCTTAGGTAGGATTAATTCATCCAGCCAACCTCAAAGAGCAACATTTAGCTGCACAAATTTCATTGCAGCAACCAGACCTCATTCTCTGATTTTTATGTGACAAGAAGCAATGACATGTGCCCTATTTTCGCGCTTAGGAGGAAGCGAGAGGTGATGCCTGAACTGTACCAGAAAAGAAAAGGGTTTAGAACTATGGGCTTAAAATCAAACAAGTACGGAGCGAAAAACAAAAAAGAATAAGCGATTCTAATTAGTGGCAGAAAATAATCGTAGCAGCGGTAAATTCAGTTGACGTATCGGAAAAATTAAAGGCAAAATTGTATTTTTCGCTCCATGCTTGTTTGATTGTGAAAACTGTAGAATTGTTCGGATTTAGAAATGGAAAGAGCCAACTGAAAAACGCTTCTGTTTGTCGAAAACCGGTAGCGGTGTTTTTTGTTAAGACTGCTGTGCTCTTGCTCAGTAATAACTCACTGAGGCAACGCAATGAGCCAGCTGCAGTCCAGTACGGACAGTACAATTAGCAAAAGTATGTGTCTTTTTCCAAAAATAACAACATATCGCACCTGATTCATATCAGCGACATTTTTCCATGGCAGATTCCCAGTGGTGAGCTCGACTTGCATGTAAATCCACGTTTCAACATCATCTTTACGGCACAATTCGCGCTGTAGGTGGCACGATATCGGCGCATAGCGGACGGTGCCACGGAAGCCAGCTGCCGCTCGCGGCTTGCGAATCACATTCTATAATTTTATGAATCGCCAGTCAGATATGTAACATTTTTTGTTCTTTCACATCATCAGATCATTCCCTCCTCAAAAAGTTATAAACCTGTGAGTTCGTATACTTTCGGCACATCCCGAAATCAAGCACATAAACTTTACGCAGTTCGTTAAGCTCCTGGCGACCAACCGTGTAATTTCCAGGCTTCACGTCCCTGCAAACATTTGAAATTACCATCAATCTGTTAACAATATAAAAGTGTCCATCTTCAATTGCTGAAAATTACGAGCAATTTTTTTTTACTACCTGTGGAGGTAACCGATTGCATGAAGATCTTCAAGTGCCTCCAGTGCCTGGATTCCAGCGCCGAGTGCCGAACCCATCGAGAGATGTTGTGCTGGGGTCGCTTTTCGAAGATCCTGAATTTCTCAAAAAAATTTTGTTATTAGGGACTATTTTTTTAAAATTACTGGGATGATTGTGGCCAGTGCGACGCATTGAATAATATAGCCAGCAGGCGGGATTTTTATCTTTTCGGCTGATTCAAAAGAAGTTCAAAAGAGTTCCTGTATAATTTAAAGTTATTTAAAGGGATGAATAATTGAGAAACCAAATTAGTCTACGCTGTCTTAAAAATTTGGGAAGTAGGCTTCACTGGAGTATGAATGGTCTCTAATCTCAAGTTTTATGGCCAAATTCTCACCTGCAAACTTTTGCCAACCAGAGTCATGACAACATAATTAAATGTCCCGAAACGCCCCTTGTCCTCAATTTTGCAGAAGTGTCGATTGTTACGTTTGTTGAGCTCGGTGAGCACATACACCTCCATTTTCAGTACCTGAAGCAATTCGTTCGTGTCCTAAGTTTTGGCAGCTTTGAAAATGAATTCAGATCAAAAATTACGCACTTTCTCTAACTAGGCACTCGAAAAAAAAAAGCTCAAGCATCTAAAAATTTCAACATTCCATTCGTCCGAAACCTGAATTTGCTCGTTGACACCCTCGACCTTCAGCGCGTACTTTCCCGTACAGTCCGATACCTGGAAGAATCTTAGTCTTTTTCCAGGTAGCAATGGAAGTGAGATTATTCGTGTCTGCACAGTTTTCGTTCTTGGGTCTTAAATGTTGAAGATACAGCTACTCATTTTTGCTGCCAGGATTTAGAAATGTCAAACACTCAAAAGATTTGCTGGGAAGACGCAACAAATTTCTACTTTTTATGAAAAAATGACAGTATTTCAACATTTAAAGTTGTAGTACTGTCATACTTTACAACCAAGAGCCAAACTGATAAAAATGTTTTTCCTTGTTTTTATGCTTTTCCAGCAAATATCTTCTTTTGAAAAAATCTGATCTGAGCTGTTTGTTTAAACATCTTTTATTTATGTTTAGGTATTTTCTTCTTCTCTAAGCATTTAGAAATCTAATCAAGTAAATCCCAAGACAAGACTTTTAATTCCGTGAGCTTTTTGAATTTTTCGAGAAAACCTGACTGTTCTTTCTTTTACTTGTTCATCGAGGTGCAGGGAACTTTTCAAATTTGGTACCTACTACTTTTAAATATTTCAAAAAAAACTTCTCAAAACATGCATTTTATGCGATTTCGTTTCGGCTTTCTCGCGGAAAAACTTCAAACATGAATTCCCAGATTTTAAATAAATTTAGAGCTGGCGCAACTCCGTCGTTGGACCGAAAATTAGCAGAAATACCGCAAGGTTATTATTTGTCGTCATGATGGCATAGCAAAGGAAGAAACGCCAACTGAGATTTTCAAAATCTAAGCATTCGGCCTTGATGAGAAATGACATTTAGATATGAATGCGCACCATGTAGACGGCGCCGAATCCGCCTTCGCCGAGCTTCTTATCAATATGCCAGCGGTCGACCTGGTCACCCGGGTTAAGTTGCACGAGTTGCTGCGCCATTATCCGCTTCGACGCTGCTGCCCTTCACACCCTGCCTCTGTTAGCTCAAAATGATCAGTTTTATTTTTCCTGCAGTTATATACCTAATTCTACCAGTCGAAATTTACATATTTTATGCAAGTTGGCAAATTTCATATCACCCCAATTAACAGTCGAAATTTAAATTTCACTGCAGCTATATGCCTAAAATTTTCATACTTTAATGCATAAAATGAATCCACGTAGCAACAAGGACAAAGTGCGATCGTGTGTTTTTGCGTTAATTTTGAAGCAGTCAGGTCATTGATAGTAATGCTTGTTGCTTTACAACTGAACATGGCACTCATGTTGGCAAAGTTTTCAGTTTTTTACGCGTTTATTGCATCTATGCAATGCAAAAAACGCATATTGTCAAGGGGTATGTCTGTGTGTGCATGTGCGTCTGTGTGCGCGTCTGTAACGAGTTTTCATCTCGAGATCCACAAGAGCTACAGGGCTAAAACTTAGGCAACTTAATCTACACAAAAACTTGCGGGCTCCTACTCTCGAAATGGACGCTCAGGTTCATTAGGTTCTCACGCACGGACACGTGAAAGTTTTTTTGGCAGCAAAGCGTTTTCGGGAACGGCACAAGCTAGGAAGCTGAAATTTCGCAGAGATGTTCCTTGGCCGCATCTAATCTAAAGATTTCAAACTCAGTCTTCACGCACTCTTAGGTCTTACGCACGCACACGCCAAACTTTAAACTGGCACCGTGCCAACTCCAGGTTTAAGCTGACCAAGAAGTTGTGGAGAGCTGCAATTTTGCACCGTTACTTGTCGCTAACTGTTGTGCCCGTGAAAGTAATTGAGTTTTTCAGCTCTTCTGCATCTCACGTATGGATGCGTGAAAATTTCATGCATGCGCTTTTGTAACTTCAGAATTGAAGCAGCTAGAAGACTGGATCTTTTTGAGCATAATCGACAGTGGCCTTTGACCAGATGGACGCAAAAACGAATTGCACATCACTTGCACGTTTCACGTACGTCTCACTTACACACACGCGAAATTTGGCGTGACTTTGCAACCAAAACAGCTAAAGCGCTAAAATTTTCCGAGCGTTGCCTAAGACCATGCTTCAGCAATCGTGCGCGAAGAAATCACTCACGTTGCCACTCACGTACGAACACGTGAAATTTAACGCAACTCCGCAACCAGAGCAGCCGGAGTGCTGAATCTTTCTGACCGTTACCCAGAGACGTGTTTGAGCAGTCGCACGCGAATAAAGCATTCACATTGCTCACGTACAAACAAGTCAAATTTGCGCAACTCCGCAACCGAAGCGTTTAGCGTGCTGAATTTTTTGAACACGAGTTGAAAGCCATTAAAATCATTTCTAACAGTCGTGGCGGCTACTCTCAGTTCTCTTAGCTAGAAGCATCTGCCGGAAAAAACAGTGCCATCAACAACAAAAACCTGCGATGGAACTATGCAAAAAACGCATCTTTGCACCGGCAGTCGATGCGCTTTTGAATAAATTTCCTGTATGTAGAAGGAAAGAGGCGTCGGATAGGACGGTGGTATTGCATTGTGAGGCCGCGTATTAAGATCGCAGCCTCTAGTATTATCTTAAAAAGAGACCACGATTCCGCATCAAGTTCATGGCATCCGTATGCGAGATGTAAACACTTACGAAAAATGACTTAAATAAAGCACAAGATATGTCAGCAGTCTTGTAAAATTTGTGCTTTATTCTTTTCCTTATTACCGTGGAAAAAGGATTAAAGCAGTGCTACAATCTGAACGTGTGAGGATGGTGACCACGTAGTCGGAGGCGTGGGGAAGGGGGGTGGTTGGGTGAGTTGGGTGGGAACGTGGGGTAGCCACGTAACGGAGAAGAAAGAGGGGGTGATGGGCGGATGGAAGAGGGATCCGAGTGCTGGTTTTGCCGCGGACGCGCGGGTTATAGAAAGTGCTCGGGAAGGGGTATACTGCACAAGGCATAGAAGGGGAGGAGGAAGAAAATTAGCAATGCATAAGCACACTTTTGGGTGTTGAATTCGAGACGCGAGGAGGAGGTTGGAGTGGGGTTGAGGGGTGGGTGTTATGTGCGGGTTTCGCGTGCAGGGACTCGGGGTGGGGAGGACGGGTTGAGTGATTACACTGAATGGCTACGTGACGTAGTTCTTTCCACAGTTGCCCAGGCCACTTAAGGGAGAGGGAAAGGGTGATGGCTTGAAAGGAAGAAAACAAGGAAAAAGCGCAAGCAAGAAAGAAAGTAAAAGGAAGGAAAAAACATCAGCAAGAAAGAAAGCAAAAGAAAGAAAAGCAAGCGAAAAACCCGTCATAAATAGGGGACATCCTCACCCATAAAGCTGATGCTTCGACGAAGAAAGCTGAAAGCGAATAAGGTGAAGCGGATGATTAAGCAAGGCTGAGAGCTCTCAGCTTTACCTGAGCATCAGCTTCGTAAATACGGAAGCTTTACCTAAGCATCAGTTTCATAAATGGAAAAGTCCCTTGCTGATAACGGGTTTTTCACTTGCTTAAAGCTTCTTTACTTATGAAGCTGATGCTTAGGCAAGCCTTCCGTATGAAGCAGATGCTCAGGAAAAGCTGAGGGATCAAACTGCTGACGCTTAGTTAAAAATGAGGGATCGAATTGCTGACGCTTAGGTAAAGCTGAGAGCTCTCAGCTTCATCTAAGCACCAGCTTCACCTTATTCGCTTTCAGCTCTCTTCACCTAAGCATCAGCTTTCTGGGTTGGAATGTCCCCTATTTATGGCGGGTTTTTCACTTGCTTTTAATTTCTTTCTTGTTTGTATTTTTTTTTCTTTCTTTTACTTTCTTTCCTGCTGGTAGTTTTTTCTTGCTTTCCTCCTTTCAAGTCATCACCCCTTTCCCCCTCCTTTAAGTGGCCCTAGGCAACTGCTAAAGGATCTACGTCGCGTAGCCATTCAGTGTGCCCACCCAACCCGCTCCTCCCGCCTTGAACCCCTGCGCCCGAAACCCGCACACAACACTGCTTCCCCCTC